TATGTGTCTATCGCTTCACTCACTTGTATCCAACACACGTGTGTCTTGGTGTGATGATGGGTTTGTGATGACCAATGCCAAGTTGCAAACTCACATTAGTAGGTCTCGTACAGCTCTCTGCGGCTGATGACCAGTTATTGTCAAGTCCTCGGTCTGTCCCTTCAGTGTAGGCCGAGTATGCACGATCGAAGTCACGGTCGTGCCACAGCCTGTTTTCCGAGATCTTGAGCCAAACATTGCTGGCAACGTCACAGTTCAAAAGCAAAATGCTTCTCTAGCATATCTACTTCAAATGATGCAACTCTTTACATGACAATTCCAAGCACAGGGAAAGTGTTCCCAAAAGTGCTACGTGGTGTGAATCAAGCATGCACCTTACCTCCCATCAAGTCTTCACTTACCATCAGTTCAGGTACCACGGGGTGTAGCTCTCACATGAGGGAAGTTCTCTCAAATATTATGTGTCATGATTCCATGAGTTTGGATTCTTTCACCCATTATTTTCTGGATGAGCTTTCTGGCCTGAGCGGAGAACATGCCTGCTGGCTTTCCAGGCCTTTGAATCTCAGGTCTTGAATTGCCGTCAACTTGTGCTGTCTGGCTCTTATGCTAAGTGATGCTCGGACTTGTCCACCTGCACCTACAAAAGACTCAGAGATAGCTGGCTCTTCGATAAAATGTGTCAGGAATTGAAAATCAAGCATGTTCATTCACCATGAGAGGTCTGTGGCTTTTAAAACTGGCAAGGCCTTTGGTGTCACGATGGAGCGGCCTTGTCAGTAACAATGCACGTACAAACTTGAAGCAGGACTGAACTTGTGCCTGGAGCTGGGGCAGGCCGTGAACCTGCTTGGGAAACGAGACACCGACCAGACATCGTCTGGAAGAAAAAGCTTTTCCTTTTTAGCCCGCTCCCCCCCCTCCCTACTTAATTAATTAAGTAGGCGCCTAGTAAGAAAGTAAGGGAAAGTAAGCTACTAGGCTAAATTAGCTTCTAGGTAGGACGCAGGATAGCTCATGCACTGCATGCACTAATGATTTGGTTCCTGTCCTGGTGGCTTTGGCTTGTCCGGAGGTTGAGGCAAAAGCACTTCCTGTTCCCGAAGCAGCGGCAGTAAGCGAATCGATCCTAAAGCAGAGATTCGGTATCATGAACATGCATGCCCAAATCCTGCGGGCGAGAGCCTCTCTTTGGCGTTGTTGCCTGCAAATAAACTGATTCGATTTCTAAGTTGTTGGCACTCACACAACAGCGAAACCTGGATCTCTCGAAGCTGCTGAAGCATGAACCTGAGCTGGCACCGCTTGAGTCTTTTCCGGAAACACAGTGACCAAGTAGAACTAATGTAGCCACAGTAATACTGGTTTTGACCGCAGCCGACAGAAACATGACTTTGACTTTGGCCATGGTGGCTTTACTGGAACCCGGAACCAGAAAGCCCATTCACTAATCTGCTCAAAGGAGCTTGTAAGGATCTTCGGGCGCTTCTCGCAACACTTCCTCCCAAGCTTGCCACAGCAAAATCTGCAAGCAATATATGCATTTATATATAATATATACTGTGTGTATGTATATGTATGTGTATATATATAATATAGTTATATATATATATGCATATGGCAAGCCCACACGAAAGGAATTGGTTTGTGGGACAAAACCTGATTGTCCAAGGCCTGGTACTGTTGTATCAAATCAGGAAATTCATCCAGGCCCAGGAAAACGTGAAAGTTTGGTGATGTTGCCGTGACACCTGAATGCAACCTAGCGTGCCTGTATAAGATGCTGGATCCGTTGCTGAACTTTGTGTGTCTCTAAATAATCCTGAATTGACCTGCGGCTCAAGTGCATCCAACACCGACACAATTGCAAAGCATGGTCAAGTGAAAGTGACATGCTCATGAGAGTTCATAGTTTTAAGCCCATGCTAAGGCTATGCACTGGCCATCTTTTGGCTTGTCCTGTGTCAGCTCGGAGTCACTGATCGCTTCAACGTGCAGAGGTGCTTCTTATGGAAACAGTGAAAAATACATGAGCAGAAATGGGCTTCACTCTTGGTGTAGCAGGTGGCCAAAGAAAAGCAAGTACTGTAGTAGAAACTCTTGTGGCCAAGGACAAGCCAAGCATGTAGATGCACGAAGAAGAGCACTGCCCATCAGGGCACTCATCGAAAGGAAAGCTTTCCATTCTTGCTACTAGTAGCGATGCACCTGTTACTAGTTGCGATGCCCTTGTTACTAGTAGCTTCTTGTTACTACTAGTAATGCCCTTGTTACTAGTAGCGATGCCCTTGTGGCTAGTAGCTTCTTGCTACTATGCTCATGCCAATTACCATTGAGTTTTTTGAGATCACAATCAGGATTTACCTATGTGAGAGATTGCTCACAGAAGTGTGGTTAGGCAGCTACTAGATTCTACACCCTTGAAAGTGGGTTCAACTTGCTTTAGAGTCTTTAGAGTCAATATGGTTGCGGGATATATTATGAAGGCACACGCGCATGACAATGCCAAACGGTTTGCTTGTTGCCTGCAGGGCTGCATCTCGTCTAATTTCGAGCTGCACCTTTTCAACACTCGGCCAGCAGAAACATCATCAATCTATATAATGGATTGAAACCATGAGTCTGAGTCTAGTCTAATGCTTCAACAAAGCTGGTAGAGCTGCTTTGTCAACTTGACTAGTCTGGGTGGCAGGCTTGCGTTGCAGTCCCGTCCGGTGTTCGAACAGGTATGGTACACTTGGACTGGCATGACAAGGTGGATAATCCAAAACACCGGAGCTGTGGCCAAAACTTTGCCAAGCGATCAAATGCAGCAGCAAGAATGGACACACGCTTGAGGCCTCTTGCTTGCCATCCTCTGGCAGCAGCTGGCTTGCCAGCTGTTGGAAAACGGAGACCTGGATGATTGGCTAGTGCCAAGGTCAGAATATATCAAGGTTCCATTTGCACGCGCCTTTTGCAGAAGCATGCCATTTTCCGTGACAATCTTCGGATGCAAAGCGGGCTAGACGCAAAATCTCTGTTTGTACACTCAAAGCTTGGAAACTTCCAATGTCCAACTTTGTGATTCAGGATGTAAATTGTGGCGCAACAGCAACACAACTTTTTCTAGATCAGTTAAATCGAGTTCCTGTCACGTGTTGTCCAAAGTTGTTCATTGGCCCATCCAACTTTGGTAATCTAAGCCACTGCTGTCAGCGTCTGCCCAACGGCATCACAGTTCCCCCGTGAGGTACGCCCGATACAGAACAAGAATCAGCTATTCATCATCTGGAACTTGCTCTATGTATGTAGATGAAACAATCAGCCTGTACTTTTCAGGGTGGGAATCGTTGGGAATCTGCAGAAATCAGCTGACTGCAGGGTCCAGAGAGGCTTCTGCAAAACGATTTTCCAAGCGGCTTTCACGAGCTCAAAGAACAAAAGCGAAGCGAAGCCTTCAAGAGTCCGAAAAGCTTTAAATGTAACTTGATCCTTTGGAATCATGCAACATTGGCACAATTAAGTGAAACAAATTCTGACGCGCTGCTTGGCTGTGCTTAGCTGTGCAAAAAAGTGGCGTGCAGCAATCTTCCATTTGGACATTTCTAGCTGTTGGGTTGCTGCCTCATTTGGAAACCTTCATTTTGACGGTGCACGACCCAAACAGCGCGCAATCGCCAAAATTAAGCATAAATTCACAGCTCACAAATGATCCAGACTGGTCATGTTCTGAGAAGCCAGGTAGGCCTTCAAAGAATTGGGTTCAACAACATTCTGCTGTTCTCCCCAGCTATATAGGCAGCTACAAACAGTTAGATTAGAATTGATGTAACTGTGCTGCCACTACTCACAGAAGCTGAATCTCTTGGCACCTCCAAAGCTGCAAGAAGCCCATCCTCCACCTTGTCCTATCCAGCTCTGCATGAACCCGTTTCTCAAAGCAAACTTCTCGCTTGTCCCAAGGTGGACAAGATCAGTTGAATCATCCATTTGAACTGAACCATGCATGTTTGGTGCAAAAACCAAATAATGAAGTCTTGCTTGTGCATGCAGTCTTGCCTGTTCTGAATAGACTTCACCTTTTTGTCGTAGTTTATCAAAAAGCATTTGGGCTTGCTCCACCTTCAGGATCAAACCAGAACGACAACGAGCCAACATGAAAACCTTGGCCTTGGACTCAAACATCTTGTTCTTCTTGGCATGCGTTCATTGCATCATATTACTACATATTTCCTGTCTGCTGTTGCAGCCCAATATAGTTAGAGTATGTTAGAGTCCTTTGTCCTGCATATTGATAATTGATCATCCAAGTTGCTTCGTCAACTGCAGCCTCACCCAGAGGTTAACAGGGCAAGCATGTTCAAAGGGCAAGGTTGAAGGCTCTAGTAAAATAGCTACTAGTAGCAATGCCCTTTGTTACTAGTAGCTTCTTGTTCCTAGTAGTAAGGCCAGGAGCCCCTAGTAGCGTCCTTGCTCCTAGATGCCCTTTGCTACTAGTAGCTTCTTGTTCCTAGTAGTAGCGCCAGGAGCCCCTAGTAGCGTCCTTGCTCCTAGTAGCGATGCCCTTTGTTACTAGCTTCTTGTTACTAGTCGGCAAAGATTCTCCCAAGCCTTTTCCGGTACGTAGGCCATTGTCGAATGTGGAGTGCAAAGAAGCCTCCAGGACTACATCAAACAGGCTTTGTGCGCCAAACAATTCTTCTATGTTGCTATGGTGCCAGTGCGCCTATCAAGTACAGGGGATGTTGTCCTAGCTTCTGCGTGATTCAGCCTTAGAGCGCACTTAGTTACCAAATTCGCAAAAGCTGGAACTCTCCGACGGCCCAGGTTGCGAAGCTCAGGGGCAAGCAAAGGCTGAAGAGGTGAGTTTGCTGGTTGCACAGCACGCTCCTCCTGGCACAGGAGTGTTGCTCTTCTTGGGCGGTTTCCAATCCTATTTGGGCGTCAAAAAGGATCAGCTAACTTCATTCTACTATGATTGCTAAGCGTGCTTGTTGGAGTTTGGTTCAAGTTGTCAGTCAATTGAACAGTACAGCGAGACACTTCGAGCTGAACCGAACCTTGCCAGCTGAGATCATCAAGAACGCATCCATGAGGATTCCTTGCTCGAGAGGACTCAATGCTCCACACCCTGTGAAAGAGCAGAACTGTGCCCACAGTTGTGGCTGAGCCTGCAATGATACCATTGTGGATTGAGTATGTAAAAGGCACAACCTCGGTAAACGGCTTGAACGACTCATGGAGTAGAAGGTAGGACAGGGGGGGAGATGATGGGGATGAAAAGGTGAGTCAGATTCGGAACACCTGAGATCTGCACAGTGATAGTAAGGAAAGACGGAATTGCTGCTCTCAGATTGTCCCAATCAATACCTGGAAGCAATTCGAGAATAAAGATTGTCCCAATCGTTCCTAAGTCTTCCAAAAAGTCCAGGAACCAAATCATTAGTGCGAGCGCTATCCTGCGTCCAGTATGTAGGATCGAAGTAGTTTCCCCCTTGTTCCTAGTAGCGATGCCAGGAGCCCCTACTAGTAGCGATGCCAGGAGCCTCTAGTAGCTTCTTGTTCCTAGTAGCTTCTTGTTCCGACTCCCTAGGAGTAGGGAGGCTCAAAAGTAGTCCCTGATATTTTGTGAGAAACAAAACACGCCTCGGCAAGGTGCCATCATGAAGGCACCGATGAGGACCTGTGAGACGATTTGGGTCCGATCCTCGACCTACCGCTGTGCAACACAAAGTCCCAAGGCGCACCAGAGGAACAGATGTTGCAACGCGAGGGATTGAGCTGAGCACAGGAGTGAGGAAGGCCTTGAGTCTGGAGCAACAGCTCAAATTAAACAAAAGAACCAAGACAAAACTATACACATAAGACTGGAAAGACTCAGGTCGGAGCAGATGCCACAAACAGACAGGCAACCACTGTTGCCGACAATCCAGTTCTTGCACCCTGCAACTCTGACCATTTAAAAATGTGTTTTGAAGCAACATGTTTTGTGTGACAATTTGACAGCAACGCACAAATTGCCTCAATGATGCCAGCACTGCTCCTTGGAAATGCGAAGCGGTACGAAAAGCAATCCCAGGATGGGCTGTCACATGTGTTCTCATGAGCATGTGTCTATGAGCATGTGAGGATGCATGGAAACCTGAAGTGTCTAAGCTTTGAGAGTTTGAGCAAGTGCATTGCGGGGTTGCTGACGCCAGTGCGCTCTGTTGCTTTGATGTCACACATACTTCGATGTGAGGTACACTCCACTTTTTGCACTGAGGGCACTTGCAGTGGAACTTGAGTCTCGTATTCGGGTGCTACCGTAGTGCTACCCTCGGTCTTTTACAACCTTGCTATCTTGCTCAGTCTTCTCTTTTGGAATCGAGACATCTCTCGCGTCTCTCAAAGTCAGTCCGACACAGTGTACCAGAAAAGGTTGTCGAAGTTTTTGAAGTTAACATATACTGAAGTTTTTGAATCTTCAATGGTGATTTTCCAACTACTGAAGGTATTTTGAGCCGTGACTCGTTCTTGCTCCTTCTCATTTACTCCTTGATGCTACATCACTCACCGAGCGAATCTCCGTGATGCTGGACATCCCTGGATTTTGGCTATTTATGCAGCAGGAGAATTCAGACCAAACACAAAGGAGCCTCACACATGAGGTTTTTCGTGCACCATACACACAAAACTCACCTATAGTTGTGGTGGAGTGTCGGTGCTCAGTGTTCCGGCAAGCCTGTTTGAACCTTCATTCAAATGAACTTGTGATATGCGTTAAGTATATCAGGATATCCGCCGACCCTGGCTTGGCTTAGCCTGGCCCAAGCCGTGCGGCCCCCGGGACGCCCCAGGGTGAAACCTTCTCCCTTGGTCTGGCACCACCTGAGACCACTCTTGCGGGCAGAACTATAAATGGATGGGCCAAGGTCCTCTTTTACGTGGCCGCTCTGCTCTTGCACAGAAATAGATTTCTTCATGGGTTTCAAAGCAGCCGTCTGGCACCTTTTCCGCTGCTTTTGCGCGCAGAAATAGAAAACACGTTGTACTTGTTGGTCAAATCGGGCGAAATCCCGATCTCTCAACTCCAGAAACCCATCCAACCAATCCAACCAACAGGTGGAGTGTTGGGTCTGTTCATCTTTGGATCCTTCTTCAGCCACGAGCCGAAGGAAGGAATTTTCCCTTCTGATGTCAAGTTTGAGACTCCATGATCAAGGAGTATCATGATCCGAAGGACACAATTGAAGCAGCACTTCTTCAACTCAGCCGATACTCGGCAGCCTTAGTACAAATCAAAAGAATACTGTTTGGGGTGCTTCCCAAACTTTACAACCACGATCTATACCCAGCTCACGTTCCCTGTTTAATTTAGGGTGAACACTCCTACACTTTGGGGCGTCTGCGTCTCGATGATAGGAAGAGCCGACATCGAAGGGTCGAAAAGCCACGTCCATAAATGCGCATTTTTGCTGCAGCAACTTTTCTAACGCCTGTAGCTGTAGCTGCATATCGCTCAGACCTAAAGGATCAAAAGGCAATGTTTTCGGTCCTTGAAACAGGGGTCGGCGTTAGCCCATCCGGCCAGCAGGGGACTGCCTGGCTAATTTAGGGGCTTACGCCAAACAGTGGGCCAGCAGGCGGCAAAGGCAAGCAGGTGAGAGTGGTGTTGATTGTTCGTGTTTGTTGGTAGTGTTGGGGTGGTGGTTGTAGTAGTTGTTGTGGTTGATGTTGTGGCTGTGGCTGTGGCTGTGGTTGTTGCGGTTGTTGCAGTTTTGGTTGCTGCTGTGGCGGTGGTTGTTGTTATTGTGCTGGTGGCTTTGACAAGAAACATAACCTAAATAGAAAGTGCCAGCAATAGGCAACTAGGGTGGCATGACTCCCACCGTACAGGCCATCTGACGCCATCTTAAAGGAAGGGGGGCACCCGTATGAGCATGTAAAAAACAAAAAAGGTGTTGAAATGTACGTTTTAAAAAAGAACGCCAAAAACAGTATGATTTCGATGTTCTTTGTTTGTGCGTTTGCATGCAAGAGCAGAAAACACCGCTATTTGCGAAGTTTTCTGGCCTCTCCGTGTTCGTTCGAGCGCCTCAGGACCTCCCTTGTGGCCCTGTGGGAATAACCTGCGCGTCCTCGCATGGTCTAGACGTGGTCAAGCGGCTCGGGGCCGCCCTTGCCCTAGCAAACACAAGGCCAACCACACCCGATTAAGTCCGCAGGACCCTGGCTACCGCAGGGTAAAATGGGTTGCGGCCACTGCCGCCGACCTTCTGGAGACCAGGCGGGGCAATCCCGCAGGGCTGGGGAGAAGGTTTTGAGGCGCGCTGGAGCGAAAACGGAAGGTCAGAAAGCCACGGACATACCTGTGCTTTCGGCTCTTGCGCAACATGGCACGTGCAAAAAAAAACTAGGGGAAAAAACACACTGATGTTCAAAAATTGACCCTGTTTTAACATGTTCGTAAGAGTACCGGGTGCCCCCTTCCTTCAAGATGGCTCAAGATGGCGCCGAGGTACGAGTTATGCATACCAAGTTGCCATGCAATGTTTGCATTTGTCTGTTTCTAGTAACAACAACAACAATAACAACATATATACATTTCATTGCCTGTTTTGCCAGATTCATTTATTGACAGGCTTTATATAGACACGCATAAATCACAGCGCTCTCATAACTCTCATACACATACTATATACCCGAATCCGATCACCCTGGATCCATTGAGTAACTGCGGTCGTTTCTTTTGCATTTACGACATCACTACGTGTATCATGTGCGTCAGAATCTTGGACGAGCGTCTCATTCGCAATGATCACGGGGCTTGTTCCGAGAACCGCTCCACACCTAGAGACTAGCCAAGGAGAATGCAAGAAACCATGTTCCTGCAGTTGCAACAGACCGGGGAGGCACTTACATGCTACCCTACGCTCTATGGGCCGCACATCGTCGAAAGAGCAGCGCTTGAAAAGATCGACTGGCTCCTTCGGGAGACGATAAGAGCCTAAAGACGATGAAGCTCTCGCTGAGCAGGCCAAGCTTTGGCGTCCTGGGCACGTTTCCATCCTCCAAAAGGCCAGCAATTCCCATGAGGCCATACCTGTCGCACCAGAGCCCAGAGCATTATAAAAAGAGAGCCATTCTCCTTCCGCAGACGGGGATCGAATGAAACACACCATGGCGGAGAAGGGCACTGCACTCCAGCAAGGTCAAACAGTGCAACGAACAGAAGCACCTCAATATCAAACCCGCCAAAAGCAGGCTTGGAGAAAAAGAGAGAGAGAGAGAGAGAATTCACTGAAACAAAGTATCCAAATGAGAGGTTCAGCTAGAGAATCTCAGATGCCAGCAAACACATGTCAATAAGAAGCTGCAAGCTGAGCTCCCAACCAAGCTACCAAGTACCATAGCATGGAGCTTGCCACTTCCTGCTGCTGCCGAGCACTTCAGTGTTGGGGACTCATAACCCAGCAATTGCATCTTGAAAGCAACTGGACCGGCCCAAGCTGAGCCTGGATCCCAGCCAGAGAAGTCGATCAAGAAAAGAGCATCATAACTGGAGTCGAAAGGTCACTGAGCCGCACTGAACTTCCCAAATTCAAATCAAGAAGATGCAAGCGCCTTGGAAGACTAAAGATTCCCTCGGGAGCTGCTGCAAGCCTGAAAGCACATCCAAATTAATTGCGAGTGTGCTACTCTATAGAACAGTCTAAGCTGGAGGCCCTGAAACCCAAGCCAAAGCGGACATGAGAAAGATTCCTGGCCAAAGCGAAGCCTAATTGTCCTAAATGTCCCCTCAAGTCTGTGCTGTCTGCACGCCTACCAGCAGTGCCCCATGGAGTCTGCTCACCAGCATGGCTGAGATCAAGCAAAACCTCACAACTGGGTGCACTAAGAAAGAAGGCTCAGAAACCTAAACAAATTCAGAAGCTGCTTGTAGCAAACCTGGGAGCTGACATAACTCCTTTGGCAAAACTGAGTGCCAACCCGGCTAAAGCCAAATAAAGCTGCTTGTTTGACCTGTAAGAGCTCCGCAACAGACTGGGACCGTCAGTGTCGTCTGGAATCGAAAGCAAAAAAACAGAGTCAGAGCACTAGTCAAACCACAGTGACGAGGAGAGTTACATTGAAGAGTGGCAACTGAGGAAGGAGCCAGGTTACGTCTCCAAGCCTTGGTGCAAATAGTGCAAATGCCAGCCCCTCCGACAGACTCACCATGCTCCCTGCTCAGGCATTCCAAGGAAGGCACGTCACCAGCGTATTCGGTGAAGCCACCACCAAGCCCATGACTTGAAAGCCAATGAGGGCCTCTGACTAAGTTTTACTACAGCATTGCCACTGCGGCACGAACAACTGCTGGCACAAGACCGAACTTCGGCTATATATGTGAGCCCTTCGTCCCATACCATCTGGAAGCTTTGCAGCATGAATGAACAAAGCGAGGTCCTTGCGCAAAATGCACGCTGAGCCTGGAAAACTCCTATGGCCACAGTGATGGCTTTCTTCAAATGCTCCGATAGGACCTGAATGGAAGTCACACCCAATTTACAGAATAGAGACCTTTCACAGCCACTAAGAAGAAACACCTTCAGAACTATCAAACTTGAGCATCTGGCTGTGGTAACTATCCACTGACAAACGCCCAGAACGGCCAAAAGCCTCAAGACGGTCTGCAGGATTATGGGGTTGTGGCTCACATGCGGTAGAAGGTCTATAGCATATGTAGCCTATGGCCCTTTCCTCGTTGTAAATTGAAGGTCGGACACAATTCAGCTGCAAAACCGAGAACTGCATGCACCCTGCGCCTAAACGAACACCAAAAACGACCAATTCTACGAAAAAGAAAATAGACGACGAAAACGAGTCTTCTTTTCATGCGAACCAAGTCACAAGAGTGCAGCGCCGCTGACAAAGCAACAGCTCATGGCCTCACAGGTGTTGAGTTGGTTTACAGGTCGTCCGGTGTTGGTCGCTTCACTTCTTCGGGTCTTCGGGTTCTGTTCAAAACAAAACAGCTGCGATGCCCAAGCTCCCAGATCTCGTGATCTAAAGACCCAAAAATGATGAGTGCTTACACGGGGTCAATGTAATTCCCTCCTGACCGCCTCATGGTTGTCCTCCCATCACTTGCATCATGAGAATCTTTCACTCTAGGACTGTTGCACCACTTAGGTTCATGTGTTCCATGTGGCTGGTCCTCATCTGCACTTTTGTGTGATGATGTTAAGCGCAACATGCTTGCAGCTGGTTTTGAAGTAAGATTGTTTTGTTCCGTTCCTGCCCCCCCTTTCGCGTTGTTGTGTCTGCTTTCTGATGGTTTCTACAGGATTGTCTCTTGCTAATTACTTTCTGTCCTGTGCGGGACTTTGTCTTTCATCTGCTACCTATTTCTTCTAGCTGACAAAGCAAGGCATAGTTGATGAAGCGGTTACAGTATTTGATCAGATTGCTTTGTTGGTCAAAGATCTTGCTTCCTGCCAATAGGTTCCACAGAAGCTGAGAGTACCAAACCACTACCACCAAATCAGCTGGACATGTTGCAATACATGTTGTTACGCAATGTTCATCAGTGCTACAGACGGGACTCGGATGAAGCAAGAGGAAAGCCTTAGCACCACAGTGTGGTGCATGTAGATCAATGTTTACCAAAATTCCAAACAGCTGCAAGCTTGAGACATTCAAAGCCTTCAAAGACTGGTCCCGGCCTGCCCAAAAGTCAGGTTGAAGGCCCGGCAGAGTCCAAATGAAAAGTACCTGGCGCTCCCAAAACCCAAAGGATTGCAAACAAAGGATCGGGTCTATTTTGAGCGCACGCGTTCAGCCCCATTCCAGGCATCAGCCCAAGAGGAGCATTTCCTCACGCCGTCAATAACCATCTGCTGAGGACACTTCTCACCCTCACCAACTGTGCTCTTTCTCAAACAGTGCTGGTGGATGAAACTCTGGGGTCTCAGCCAAAGATTCCAACTATCAGAGAGCCGATCGCAGCTGACACAGCGGTTGCTGTCATGATCGTCTCCTGGAGGCAGGTGTCGCTTTGCTCATCGAGGTTTCGGAGACTCGAACCAGTTCTGGCTCAATCCAGTACTCAACATGTCAAGAAGTTGAATCTCTACAGCCAGTGTACATCCAAATGCATGTGCAACATGAGCTCGCAGAGATCTGTCCGCAGATAAATGGCTTGCTGGATCAGCACTGCCCAGGATGACTGGGTTGACAACAAGAATGTAGCCTGTGAAAGGTCACACACCTCTGGTCACACCCCTCTGACTGGCCCTGCAATTCTGTTCAAAGCTATCACTCAACATAACACGCCAGCTGCACTCATAGTCATCCAATTGATGAACCCTGACCTGACCTGCCAAGTCATTGGAGAAATCACAGGTCCGTAAGGTCAGTCAAACATCCAAACTCGTAAAATGAGGATCTTTGGCTTTGTGATGTCTCTGACAGCTGTTGGGTCTTGCAAACTTATGTTCACTCTTGCTGCAGGATCAAGACTCTCTTCAACACATGCTCTTGCTTTGCCTCCGTCTGAAGGCAAGAACCACGCTCAGAGACCTTGGAAACTAGCAGGTCATCTCAAGTTGTCAAATATTGCAAGTCTAGTACATGAACAGTTTTGTAAACTGTAGTTGTATAAATATAGATAGATAGATAGATAGATAGATAGAGAGAGAGAGAGAGACTACAAAAAAGCTTCAAGAGCCCACACTCAGGACTTACTTCCAGCTTGTTCCGTGGTTGTAATCACGCGCAGAGCAAAGCACCACACCAGAAAGAAACGATCTATGGAATCAATCCAAGTTGATGAACCTGTCACACATCAGTTGGTTACAAAATCTGACCTTGGCTGAACTTTTCTGAAAGAAATTCTACATATATATATATGTATGTATATATACAACATCACAGGCCTGACTTTGGGCTCCCATTCTTGGTCTCCCCATTGTCCTGTGTGACTTTGCAAGGGTGCTCAGCTGCTTGAAGCGGAGCATGGGAGTCATGGATGGACAAATGTTTGCCTAGTTCGAATTCCTTCCAATTCTATATGCCCAAATGTCAGGTTCTGGAGAGGCTTCAGTTGTTGTTTCTCGAGCTCTGATTTCCCCTTGGGTTCCGGCACCAATTCTACAAGGAATTGTCAGAGTTTGAGTCACATGTTCAGTTGCTTTCTATACGATCAATATTCTATGCTGCTGCATACATGCTCAGTTTCCTTTCACTTAGCATGACAAACTCTACCAAATAGAATGCGCGATGCTTTCTTGTGCTTCTGGTTTGCGAGGTGCTTCATGTTTCACATTGTTTTTTTGAGTGGATACTTGCCCATCGGCCTGTTGGCCCATCAGGGGAGCATCTTACAGTATTCTTTGGGGCCTACATAGTCAAAAAGAATGAAAGTGCCTAGTGGATGCTTTTAAGAGGCGGGGCTCCCTTTCTCATTCTCTCCCTCTCCCTCTCCCTCTCCCTCTCCCTCTCTCTCTCTCTCTCTCTCTCTCTTCAAGGCCTTCTTTGTGCCTGCCTCCAAAGCCTCCCAACATGGGCGCTGGCAAAACAAGAAAAATTGAATCTCTTTGTTTCTATATGCTGTCTGCTCCGAGCAACAGTAGAACCCAGCCTCCAATGCGGCCAGATTTGCTTTTGATCCATCCGCTTGCATTGTGCCTTCAGGCGCCTTCAGGCCTGAGAACCGGGCACGCAAAGTCCTTCCATTCCAACGACTCAAAAGCAATGTGAAGATACAAAGGAAGCTTTCTTGACTTCTTTCTTTTCATCGTTTTTTCTGTAGAACTGTGGTTCTTTTCTTAACATTCTGACTTAGCAGCTTTGCTTTGGCTCAAAGCGTTGTATTGACTCTTCACTGGTAGTCGCTAAGTCAGCCGGCCAGCAAGGCCACTGGGCAATGGGGCAGGTTTGGACCAAGTGCAACAACAAAAAACGGGAAGTGCTTCAGCAGAAGTGTTTTCAGTGGAAACTTCAGTGGAAACACTTATTGTGTTCAAGTTCTACCATTGAAACTTTGACAACATGTGCATTGAGAAACACTGAAGTAGGGAGTTGATCTCTTTGTGAAGTGTCCTTACGTGTTGAATGCATCTGTCATGAAGCATTCTTTGAGCCTGAATCACTAATTACAGAAAGTCAAGGCCAAACTATCACTGCGACCAAGTTGGAAAAGCGAGGCATGAGATCAGTGCTTTGCCGACCAGGACATGATGAACGAATGAAATTCATGGGATTGGTGTCCCACCTCCACCAATGCTCCAGATTTTGGTAGCACGAATGGATGGTTTACCTGGCCAATCAGAATACACAAAAACTATTTGAACAATAAAACTGCAGTAAACACACTTCACTACAACTACAACTTATAGTTATAGTACGCTAAGCCCTCTGCTCTAATCAGATTGTGCAAAAGAGAGTTCTTAAACTCTTGACTTGAATGCCTCGAGTTTCATCTGGCGCCGAACGCCACCAGCATGTACAGCAATGATTGGCTTGGGTGGGACATTGGAAGCCGTGACCACGGTGATCTCAGACAGGGAAGAAACAAGGAATCTCAATTGATTCAAGTCAAAGTAACTGGAATTCTGCCAGCTGAATAACGATGTCATACAAAACGGTGCCTCCATGTCATCTGCCGGCAGCCACACACGGGCACAGTTCCCGCTTCGACCAGCCAGAACTGCGTTTTGCATGTTCCACATGAAGAAACCTGCGGGTCTATCAAAAAACACCCTCAAAACCAAACTAAGGTAAAGATTGTACTGTTAACACAGTTTGCAACACACATGTGCAATGCACCTGAAAGTTCTCGTGTTCATGAACCGTGCTTCACTTGGTTTTTTTGTGCACGTTGAACGGGATTGTTAATACACAACAATACAGTAATTTTGACAACAAAAAACCGCTTTAAACACGGCAAACTACAAGTGAGTTCCTTCCTCATGAGGGTCAAACCCAATCCAAGTTTGGTCTTTCGGTGCGGGCAACTGAGCAATCAAAGAAAATCATGTCAAAAATTGAGGGTGATGGCCAGCTGTGTGCAACATATGTCGCAAGACCCTGCTTGCACATGTGGCTTGTCAGCTCTTCGCTGTGCAAGCATTGAGGGGCATTGCTATTGCAATGTTCTGAAAAATTCAACCGGATCCAGCTGAGTGCAAACGGCAGAAGAAAAAATGTTCGTGGTAGCGAGCGCAGCGGACTTTTCCAAGACTAGTTTGGGCCACTACGTGACCGGTACATGTGCTTCAAGTGTATGTGCTCTGCACAACTGAACGTGAACTCAAGTGTACATCAGTGGGTCTGTGTGAAATTTCAATGTCCAACACCCCCCTGAGAAGTGTCACGACAAAGTGGCACTCTTTTCACGCCATCTCAAGCCACTCCTTCATCGAAGCAGCGTCGGACGTTTTCGTCCCAGTTCAGCTCCCACTGGCCCGATAGGAACGTGATCGCGAAGTTCGCGAAATCACGTTTCTCCTCAGCTCCCCAGCACAGCACATGGTCGAACGCTGCTCGGGGATCACGTTGTCCATGGAGCTGTCCAATCCTTGCTTGCAAGAATTCTTTCAACAAAGTAGCCGGAAAAATTCCAGCTTCCTTCACTTTGCGTCCACGTCTTTCCTCATCTGGTGGTAGGTATCTAAAAATCGTCTCAAGGTCATCCCAATTGGCATCACTTGGTGGCTCATTTCGGTTGTATTCTGACCATACTCCTCCAGGCGCGTCTCCTCTAGCATTGACATCGATGTCCATGTCTTGGGTCTCATCCATGTTCTGGCTCTCATCCATTTCATGGTCTGCCTGTCCTTCACTTTGTGCTTCTCGTTCTGACCTTGTAGGTCGATATTAGAGGCCTGTCTGAGCATTTCCTGTGAAGTACTCCTCACCGCTCTCAGCTTCTTCTGATCCAGCAAGGACTCTGTACTCTCGCATTGTCTTGGTTCTGGGTCCCAATCTGTGGTCCATTCACCAATCCATTCATAGTGAGCATCATTCTCCATGTTATCACTGGGTTCATCTCCTGATCCATGTCGAAGCTCTGGTTCCAATTGCCGATCACGTACTACAGGTTGAAGTGGATTGTCAGGGAAGACGGTTGTCAGCTGGTTAGTGCCCAAATCCGACACGTTCCAAAGTGTTGGAACGCCGTCCAAGGTGAGAACCTCTTTCTTGACCTCGAGCTGCATCCAAAGATAGCGGGCGTCAATGTGTTTCAACCGACCAACGCCCAATCTCTCTGTGAAAGCTCTGCAGGAAGTGCTGCCTGTAATTCACCGAATCTTGACCTCTCGCTTGCTCAGGAACTGCCTCCGCTGCTGCTAGGAACTCTGCCTCGCAGGAACTCAAAGAAATTGCTTTCTGGGATCTTGACCATCCGGCCACCAAGCATCCATTCAGAAACAACATTGCCGAACTCACTGAGTGCCTTCTTTTCTTCTCACTAGACTCGTCGCCAGTGCAATCGCTGTCTGTGAAGGCCTCCAAAAGGTCGCTGACTGAGGATCTCTGCCTTCTTGCTCTTGTTCTTGGTGTAGGGGAGCAATAGGCCATAGTTCTCGGTGCTCTTCAAGTAGGAAATGACATGTTTGAGCTCTATCTCAGCCTTCTTCGTTGGCAGTGCCATGAACTGCGAAACATTTCGCACACCGTGCTGAATGTCAATCCTATCCTGGGAGATATACAAAAGTGTACCCAGCGCCAATCTAAATCTGTGCTGGTCTCCACGAGCTTGTCTTCTGGGCCACCTTCTAAATCCACTTGTGTGCTTTCTGGCGTCGCCTTGCCTGCTCGGTTGGTGAGGTTGTACAACTCCAAGAGTCCTGGAACATAGATAACGTTCATGAGGCATGATCACCAAACCTTCTTTTGTGAAGAAATGCCTCTTCTTCAAGCATCTACGGGCTGTCCTTCTCGAGGAAGAATGCCAGACTCGCTCAACACGAACTTCTTGTTCATCATGTCCAGCAACCATTCCAAATCTGCCAGTTGTCCAGCAACAATCAAGTC